ACAGGAATGTGTGTGCTTGGCTAGTTAAGAAACAGCAAGGCCACCTCTGTGACTGGAGCTCAGAACCGCAGGTGAAGGGTAGGAGGACATGAGATTCAAGAGGGAGGTGATCGCAGGCGCACCTCAGAAGGCGGCGTGATAGTGGCTTCGGAACTGTACTCTGAGTGTAAGTGAAAGCCACAGGAGCAATTTAAGGATTTTATTTACTATCTACTTAGTAGTTATACTAAATCCTACTACATGCCAGAACTTTGCTAGGCTGTACACAACTGTGAAAAATCATGTTTTGTCTTTACCTTCCCTAAGCTCACAGGCTGGTGTGGAAGGTAACAAATGAAAGAATCAATTACAATAAAAAGTTTGGTAAGTCCCATGATAAACCAAGTCCAGAGACCTGAAAATGGTGGAAATGATCTAGATTCCTATTTCTATCACATTTAATTTCTTATTCTAGAATACAGGAGTGGGTGGAGTGGGGTGACAGCACACATTTGGGTAAATGGAATCGCTCTGGAGAACGTCACTTGTTCAGGAAACTGGAGGGAAATTAGGGTGACTAGATGTAGAATGGGAGCTGGAGCTGAGGAGATGGGCAGAAGCCAGATCATAAAGATATTTCTATGTCATAGTTTTCCAAATAGCAGTCATGAAAATCAGTTTAGTGAATTATAATCAGCATTTTTTCATGAAAATCAGTTTAGTGAATTATAATCAGCATTTTTAAATGTAACAGAATAAAATATATTGGAGTGTGCTACACAGAGTAAACGCAAGTTTTGCTTAAGAAACTTTTGTTCAGTTGTATGAATATATGTGTGTTCTAGGTCACAGTATAAAATGTGTTTACTATAATCATAGTAAAAAATGTCTGAAAGTCAGTGATCTAGTCACTTTAAGGAGTGAACTTCAGCCTAGAGGCAACGGTAAAACACTGAAAAGTTTAAACCGGAAACTATGATCAGTTTGCGTATGTGTGCTGCATGTTTATATGCGTCTGAGAAGGAGTACTCAGAGTACTCAGGAAGCAGTACAGACAATGGATCAGAAAGGGTCAAGACTGGCGCGAGGAATCCATTTAGTTGGCTATGATTTAATCTAGGCAAGAGCCGCTCCAGAAGTGACTGAAGGACTCTGCATCTCTGAGATCCGGTACTGACTGGCTGTGGTGATGGGGAGGAAGGAGGAATCTGCCTTGGCCAGATGGTGAAGCCATTCATTAAGACAGGGAACACAGAAAAGAGCAAATCTAGGGAGCAAATCTACTGATATGAATTCAAGACATGAAAGTGAAGCGCATCAGTAGCCACCGGTTGGATACGGAGCCCCTAATCCCAGAGGAGAGGTCTGGACTGGGGTCAACTGAGAAGTGACTGGGTACTGAATAGCACAGCCATCACAGAAGCCAAGACAGTAAACGAGATACTGTAGAAAGACGAATAGAGAAGAAAAGACTTACGGGATGGACAGAGGGTAGAGAAGATAGAGAAGGTGCACCCAGAGAGATGCGGGGGAAACTGGAGAATGTGGTGTCTGAGAAGCAATGGGAAAAGTGTTTCAAAAAGTAAGGAGTGACTCAGCAATAAGAAAACAAACCACCCAGTTTTTAAAATGGGAAAAGCACTCAGACAGATGCATCAGCACATAAGATGGACAGTGCTATCACCACACCTGGCAAGGGCGCACCTGAAAGTTGCTCACCGTCACGTATCCCTAGGGAAACGCTAGCTGGAACAGCACAGTCCCCCTGCGCTCTGTCAGGACGGCAGACAGCCAGAGCACTGACACCGCCAAATGCTGGTGAGGACGTGGGCACATGGAGCACTCACTCACTGCTGGTGGGAATGCAAAACCACACAGCCACGAAACAGACAGGCTGGCAGAGTCTCGCACAGACTAAACATTCCCTTACTGTGTGACCCACCCATCATGTTCCCTGGTATTCACTTTAGTGACCTGAAAGCTATGTCCACACAGAAACCCACACATGGATGTTTGTAGCAGCTTTATTCACAATTGCCAGAACTTCGAAGAAACCAAGATGGTCTTCAGAAAGAGGTGAATGGATAAATTGGGGCACAACTAGACAGTAAAATATTATTCAGTTATAAAAATAAATGAGCTATCAAGCCATGAAAAGACACAGAGGAACTTTCCATGCACTTCACTAAGTGAAAGAACCCAGTCTGAAAAGACCACCGCATTATTCCAAACTAAATGACCTTCTGGAAAAGGCAAAACTGTGGAGACACTAAAATGATCAGTGGCTGCCAGGGCCTAGGGAGAGGAGGGGTGAGTGGGTGGGGCCCAGAGCATTGTCAGGGCAGTGAGACTATTATGTCCATACCACAAGGGTGGACACACATCACTACACATCTGTCCAAACCCCTTCAAGGTGCAACACCAGGAGTGAGCCATCCAATGTCATGCCAAAGTGGGTTCGTCAAAGGTAACAAACGCTCTACCCAGTGCACGACACAGATAGCGGGGGGCGGCTGTTTAAGGGTGAGGGGCCAGGGGGTGTCTGGGAACTCTCTGTACTTTCTGCTCAGTTTTGCTCTGAACCTAAAATTACCCTAAAAAACAAAGTTTATCTTTAAAAAAGAAAGAAAGGAGTGGTGAAGTGCTAAGTACTGCTGTGTAACCATTATAGGCCGAGGATACCCAATGGATTACAACAAGATCACTGGTGACTCTCGCCAGAGTGGCCCTTTTCTGACCCTTTTTATAGTAAAATTGGAAAGAGTCGTGTCTGTTTCCTTTCCCCATTTCCCTTCCCTTCCTCTTCGGCTGTATCCACACGAATCGGGGTTTTGGCTCTTGCCCCTCCACCAAAAACATACTTGCAGATTCTCGATGACCTCCAGCCATCGCTGGTCAGTTCTCGGGTGCCTTCCCTGACCTGCCCGCAGCCCTGCACACCGGTCCTCACACCCGCCTCCTGGACGTTTTCTTCACTTGATTCCTAGCACAGCAACGCCTCTGGCTTATCTCACTAGCCATTCCTATGCTGATCCCTCTTCATCTTCCTGATCTCTGAATATTAATGTCCCACAGATTAATCCTTAGGTCTCTTTTCTCTATTATCGCCACCTAAAAAGTGATCTCATCTCACAGCTTTAAAGACAAGCTATATACTGTTAACTACCCCACAACTCTCAACTGAGATACAGTCCTAAATTCCAGGGCCTACACAACATCTCAACTTAGATACCTAATGGGCATCTCAGTCTAACACGTCTTTCCAAAATGTATGTATTCTTCCCTAACCACCCCATCTCAGTTAGCAGTAAATCCATCCATCCTTCCAGTTGCTCAAGCCAAAAAACCCTGGAGTTACCTTTAATTACTCTCTTTCTCTGTCACATCAAATCCAACATAAATGTTGTTGGAGCCAAGCCACCTAGGCTCACACTCTAGCTCAGCCGATTAATAGCCGTGGTGTCCTGGGGACACGGCTGAATGTCTCGTGGCTTCAGTCTGTCGCCTATGACACGCGAGTGACAGTCTTGTGTGTCTCACAGGCTGTCACGGTAATTAAATGAGTTGATGTCTGTAACATGCTCTCGGTAGCCCCACCCCTCAGTCGGTAGCACCTCCGGAACCTGACTGCCTCCGATCCTCACCACCTCTGCCCCCAGCATCCCGCCTCTGGATGACTGCGAAAGTCTCCTGCTAACTGGTCTCCCTCCTTCAGCCCTTCACCCTTTCACCCCATGGAGCTGCCAAGGTGATTTTTTTTTTTTTTAAACTGTAAGATTCTTTTCAATTTTTTGGATGTTTGAAAATTTTCATAACAAAAATCAGAAAAAAACAAAGTCAGATTAGACATTCCTCTGTTAAAAACCTCTAATCCTATACATTCACTCAAAGTCAAAACTCAGGTCTCCATAGTGACTGGCTGGACCCTCAAATTAAGGTCTCTCTTGCCCCTCTGACCTCACCTCTCTCGTCCTGTCACTCATGCCTTTCGAGCACAGAGCCCTCCACCCTGTTCCGTAAACACTCAAGCTCGCTCCCTCCCCAGGGCCTTTGCACGTGCTGTTCCCTCTGCCTGGAAAACCCTTCCTTGCTGCCTGCCACCCTCCATCCCTGGCCCCTTCTCTATTTTGTTTTCCTCACAGCACTGACGCACTATTAAGTCACTGATACTAAGGAAACAAAGTTAAATCTAGTGCATGTTTCATTTATTTATTCCAAAATGCAATTCCCACGTTATCCTTTGTTGCCAACCCAGTGGACATAGAGTCTGTATGACGTTCCTTAAAATGAAAACAGGATTAAGCAAAACTAAATAGATTGTTTCCTGCATTGCCTCTGGTTTTCTTTTCTTATGTGTGTATAAATGGTGATAAACACTGCAGATTCTAGGTACCTGGTGTCTGTCTTCAGTGTTAGGTTTTTCTGAGAGTTACTCACCCCACTGCCCACTCATTTTGAGTCAGAGGCTAAATAACATAGAAGTCGGAAAAGCAGTAGCAGCGAGACTAAGACACAGAACAGAGCCTGCTTTATCCTCAGCATCCGTTATCGTACCTCAATGGCGTCTAGTAAATGGAAATATCCTGAAAAGGATGGGAGAGGGGGTGAAGGACAGGGGCAAACAGGAATATTTATCCCCTTGCCATTATGTGATGGGCCTACTGACTCTCTAAATACATTATTGAATTTGGTCCTCATAGCAACAGCCCTCCCTGAACTGTCAGCCATTTACAGATGAGGAAACGAAGGCTCAGACAGACTCAGTGATCCGTCCCCCACTAGTAGCTGTGGGCAGAGCCCACAGCCTAACTCAGACACACTCGGGCAGGGGTATGTGAGGCCAAAGCCCACGCACTCTGTTCCTCTAGAATCTTGCCTCCAGAGGTACCAATCCAGCAAACTGGAGCTGAGAAAGGTTGTTAAATGGACCACTTATATGTCATCATTCAGTTCCTGAGAAAAGTTAGCATGTCTAACTTTCCACGAACCCAGTCATAGCTGCAGGCCGGCGACTCCCTTACCTGTGGACATGAAAAAGGGGATGCGGAACTTCCCGCTCAGCACCCGGGCCCGCAGGTCCTGCAGCGTGCTCCCGTCAAAGGGCAGGGCCCCGCACACGAGCACGTAGAGGACGACTCCGAGGCTCTGCACCCCGAACAGAGAGGACGGCGGACAATTAATTGCATCAGAAGAAACAGAAGAGACCATTATAGTACACGTACAAGATGATGGTGAGTCACACACAAGATAATGGAACAACCTTTCTCGTCTTTTTTTATGAGAAATAATATGGGTATTGCCAAGGCCAGTCATTTTTAGACGAGTTAACATTCTCTGGGCCTCCAGACAGCAACGTGGGGCATTTCTAGAACCTCCCACGGCGCTCATCCTCTAGGAAGAAGGCACATTGAAACATAACAGAGAGGATCTGCTCTGGTAGAGGCGCCGCCCGAGCCTGCTCCTGGGCTCCTGCGTATGCAAGGGGGCGTTTCAAGCCTGTGACTCAGTCCGTAAGACCAGGGCTGGAGGGAAGACTGTGCACGAGGACCGGGAATTCAAACAGGCCAGGGAGACGGCCACTCTCAGGCAGCACTGTGCTGTCCGGGACGAGGACGGGACGACAGCTGACAGCTGACGCCGATCCAGAGGATCTGACGCTACGGGGCACGAGAGGAGGAGGTTACATACCCAGATGTCCACTTTGGGCCCATCATACTCCTTTCCTTCGAAGAGCTCAGGCGCCGCATAGGGAGGGCTGCCACACCAGGTCTTCAGCAGCTGCCCAGGAGTGAAGAGGTTACTGAAGCCAAAATCTAGAAAGGCAAATGGACACAATTCATGTTATCGTTACCCAGGAAATACTAGTTGCTAGTCACTTGAATAAAGGTCTGGATTGGTAAGTTTGAGTAGCAAACACGAAGAGAGAACATTTAGAGATTATGTAATAGTTACTTAAAATAGTGAAATAGAGACACAGACAAGCTGGAATGCAAGACACCTGGTGGGCTGCAAGCAAACATGACTGGTTCACATCCCCAAACCCAGCACAGTGAGTGCCCTTCACAAACCCAGGCTGCGCGGACCCCGCGAGACCTGTTCCTCCAAGAACAACAATGAAATCGGATAATGACTGATGTTAGGACCGCATCAGAATCAGTACGTACACATACGCCTACTCAACCTGACCCAGAATTTTCCTATTATTTTTGACTTCTTAAGGCAAACCCATTTATGACCGCATTGGGAGACACACTGACTTAAAAAATTAGACAAAGTGACATTAATATCATTATGGTGGCTTTTTCAAAATAAGGAATAGTCAATTTATCTACCAATTAAACCAAGGATGTTTCCATCTCAACATCAGCTTCGTTTGTGCTTTCGTTTCTCCCCTCACTATGTTAAAGAGAAACGAGATGGGGGCGAGGAGGGGTGGCTTTTGGGGAGGAACACTGAGGAAGTGCTCAAGGCTGGCAGGCCAAAGGACAGAGTCGCCGACTGACATGCAGTTTATGTAAGTAACTAATCATACGAACAACTCGTATGTGTGCCAGGCCAGACCTCCTCCTGCTGCAGGCCCGACGCGTCCCCCGGACCTCCCTGACCTCTGAAGCTCTTTCCCCCCTTTGCCTGTTTTACTCTTGTTGACAGCTGTCCCCTCTGCTACTTGCTTTTCTTCCACCTCCTACAGGTGTTTCCGCACAGGGGACGCACACACCTGGACTCCGTCTCCTTGCTCTACAATGGCTCAAGGCGGACTCTTCTGACCCCACAGCTTCTGCTATCATTTCTCCGGTAATAATTCTCCAAATGTGTACCTCAGACTTGGCACCACTCTTCAGTTCCCAGCACGAACTTCCAGTACTTGGCTGGGAAAACACCTCAAACCCAGTGTTTCCCAAACCCAAACCTGGTCTCCCAGTGGCGTCCCCACACCCGTGAACGGCATCACCGTCCCAGGAACCAGTTGCCCTGGGGTCGTCTTTTCTTTCTCCCTCTCGTTTCTCATCACTGCCTCTCCCATGTGCCTTGACTCCATCTCCCCGGGTTCCCATCTCAGTTCGTTCTCTCTTATCTCTGGCACAGAGGAAGGCTACCTCTTACCCCCTACGCCTGTTCCCCTTTCCCCTCCTCTAGGCCGTCCATTCAGAGCGCAGTGAACCATGTCATGTCAGCTCACTCGACAACACGCGCCGCTCCCTTCTGCTCACACAACAGCCTCTCTGGGCACTGCCACTTACGGTCCTTCAAAATGCAGCTCCGTCCCGCCCTGCTAACTTCTCCCTGGCCCTTCGGGCATCACTAGACCGTCCGCACCCTGTGCTCGCGCGCCCTTCTTGTGCTATTTCCTCTCTGTGCCGTGCCTTTTCCTTTCCTTGCTACACTTGAAATACTGCCCCCTTTCAAGGCCTGCTCAACTACTACTTCCTGTACGAAGCCTTAACTGATTCCCACCACGAAGTACCATGCCGATGGCTTCCTCCTCCGTGCTTTTCACAGTCTCGTTTGCCTCTATATCCCAATTACATCGCTGGGGTGTATTCTACTTGGTTGTATTACATGTTCATACCCTCTACTAGTTAGTAAGTGGCGGGCGTATTATTTAACCTAGTCTCCACACAGTGTTGTAAAACACAGCAAGGACTCTAGAAAGGGGTCACTAAATGAAACTGTGACAAAATCACGGGGCCAGCCTCTCACCACCTCCTGGCGACCAGAGCCTCCTCACGCTGACAGCGGCAGCTGGCCAGCAACTGCGCCTCGACCTCCTACCTTCCCTCTGAGGTCCCAAAACTAACTTAGTGATCACAAGGAATTCAGGGGTCAGGACCATCGTTAGAATTATTACAGCTACTTCCATGAGAAATCCCATACTCGCACTCAACAGTGGAAAACAAATGCCTCTTCTGTCAAGTCTTCCTGTATCTCCTGTAAGAAATGTCTCTACTTTCTCTGTACTCCCCTATTACTTTGTATTTCTCCTTTATTTTGGTATTTCCATATATCCCTAACCTTCTACCTTCTTAAAAATGCCCTCTCTAGTTCCTTAAAAATCCCCTATTCATCTCTCATATGACCTAACATAGTGTTTAAACAGTTTATACTTAATAAATGTTGTCTATGAATGCAACTCAATTTAAAGCTCTACAAGCTAACCTATAACTTTTTAAATCTAATCATCTTACTTTGTAAGTTAAAGTCTGGATATATTGAGCCTTGTTAAGATTTTTCTTAAGAGAGTGGGGATAGGTTGCTTAAAATCCCAAAAAATGAGATTTAGCCAAGTAGATGTCTTTGGGAATTATCTAGAAAAAGGACCCTTTTTATGACTGGCCTCCCTCTGCACAGTGTGGAAAAGACATGCTGATGGATGTTGGTGGGTAGAGAGCAAAGTCCAGAGAAAAGGCTCATGGAGTCTTTTTTTGTGTATGTTTTGAATGGAGAGTGCAAACGGCCAAGCAATTAATTAAAACCAGCTGATTCAAAATTTTCCTAATAAGCAGCTTAGGAAATTACAGGAAATAATTCATTTTGAACCATGAATTCTTTATCTATAATTAGCAACCTTTCTACCCTTTTACTCTGCCCCTGAGGGTAAGGCACAAACGTAATGGCACCAGCTGGTTTGTTATATCTACCAGAGAACTCTTTACAAAGGGAACCATATCAAAGGGAACCATCTTCAGCGACAGCTACGGGCTTAGACTGCTATTCGGTGTTTACGTGAGAAATGAGCATGTGAGAATGAATGAGATGGTTAGGGCCTGACAATTAGAGAGGGCCACATCTGGGGAAGGACCTGCTTCCACAGCACGCTACCGCCAACAGCTGGCTCAGCAGCTGCACCCGATGACCGACAGCAAGACTGCGGTAAGGGGCAGCAAGAAAACCCCACCCACTTGCTCTTACTTCTCAAAACACCCCAAGGAAAAATCCTCTCATCTTGTAAAGCTGTCAAGGGACACCCTACGATCATTCCATGTATTGTTCTTACCCCTACTCTATGGTGTTGTACATTTAAGCAAAATTTGCTCTTCCCTGCCTGCTATGACCCTTTCTGTAGAGCCAGCTTTCTTCAGTGAATGATCCTGATTCATTCTTTACTGTCCCAAACCTAACAGAGTATGACCTCACCCACCGGTCAATATACGTATCACTACAGATGGGCAGCGTCACTGAGGGCACACTGCAGTCTCAGCTCTCCCCAAAGCCCGTGTCTCTGCATGGGTGTTTCACATTAATCTTCAATACTGCTGTACAGCTTTAGTTAGAATTCTGAGTTGTTCACTGTCCATTCAGCTATAACATAACTTGTTTTCTGAAAGTTTAAATTACTTATGTGGGAGAAACCTCAAATGATTAACATACACTAAACCTGGAACTCCTTCTGAAAGCTTAGTTGCTTCTAACCAACACTTCAGGGACAGCATCACCAAGGCGGGAGGACGCCTCCTCTTTGTTCTCCCAGCTGCTCACTTGGGGGGCATTCTGCTGTACATTTTAAGAAGACTGGAAGGAAAAATAAAAGCAGCTAAAATGGAAACCAGTCTATTTTGGGTTTTCCTGGTAGTTTAGAGAAGGGCCAGGGGACTGCTGCTGGGATGTGGAGGTATGTGGGTAACAGATAAGACGTGGAACAGAACCACCAAGATTTTTACTTACCTATATCTGGACAACTGAAAACCTACAAAGTGACTCAACTTGGAAGAGAAAATTCTCACAATTTAGGCAATGATTAAGATAAACAATAAAGAGGAAACTCTTGCTGACTTGGATCAGAAATGCCAAAGAAGCAGGGAAAAACTTCTGGAACCTCAGCTTGACAGTCACTGTGCACCTAGAAAGCCGTACTTCTGGCCAGGGGGCTGTTCGTCTTACAATGGTCGGGAGCTGCTCTCATTCACCAATGGCTTTCCTTATTTCCTGAAGTGCCTTATCTTCACCGTCTCTTTCAAAGTCTCCAAGTCCCTCCATTTCCTTCACTAATGTATTTGACATGGATTTACGGAGGCTTCCTAAGGGCACAGCGACGTGCTGGCCCCTACAAAGGAACCAAGCGGGCGAGCCTCCCTCCTGTGGAGGCCTCAAGGAGGAGGACCTCAGCCGAGCCGCAGAGGGGCTGCAGAAAGGGCCCCTCCGGGGTGGCTGTGCACCAAGTCGAAGCGTCAATAAAGAAAATGCCCTGGGTGTTGGGGGGCTTGCGGAGGAATGTGGTGAGAAGTGAGATCACACAGCCGCATCAGGCAGGACAAAATACAGCTTTCATGACGGAAGAAAGATCCTAGCTTTCATCCAATGGACTTCCGCTTTTTCTTTCCTTTTCCTCTTTTTACTCCCAAATTTACAAACTTTATTAGATTTCAGATACAAAGAATTTGATTATGAATTAATTATAGTCTTTGGTTCCTGACACATTCTCACCATTGCCCCCACATGGGTCGGCGATTATTTAGACTTCTGCCCCACAGCCTGACTGTGATAAATTTCACATTTCATAAAATTCACCCACTTAAAGTATACTGTTGAGTAGTTTCTAGTATATTCACTGAGTTGTAAAATCATTACCTTCATCAATTTTAGAACATGTCCATCCCCCTGGAAAGAAACTCCGAACCGATCAGCAGTCACTCCCCTCCTCGTCCGGGGCCCCGGCCCTGGGCAACCGCGAAGCAGCCTCTGTCTCCACAGATGTGTGCGCTCTGCACCGTTTGCATTAAACGAGTTTTAGTTATTTTTTTATGAGAGGCTTCTTTCACTTAGCATAATGTTTTTAAGGTCCATTCATGTTGCAGCAGGTATCACTGTTCAATGT